ATTTTCGAATCCTTATTGGCAGAGGTCATCTCATTTGCCTTCTCGGCGAAGTGAGGTGTTACAAGTTACTACATTCGGCACATTGAAAGCCAAATTTGATATTGAACTTCGCATAACTAGCAGCCTTGTCTTCAGGCTCTAGAACCTGAAGGCCGAGACGTGTTCCTTCATCGGCCGCAGTCACAAGATTAAGAAGTCAGCAGCACACCCAACGCAACATCAACATATTTTACTCCTCGACCGAGCTCGGCCGACGAGTTGGCACGCCCGCATACAACCGAATGACGTAATTAGCCCATTAGTTGCTCGGTCTGCGCGTCACGTAGGCTTGGTAGTTTTTAGGGTCAACAACTTGTATGGACAATAAAAGAATGACTACATGCAAAAATAGAAGTAGAAGAATACACAAAGTACATCCATCCAACAAGTTCAATATTTAAAAAACAGTAAGCATATGATCATAATGAGGAGTATTCTTGGATGATTGACTAAATTCTTCTTGTTCATGATCCTTGCATTGGATATGATTGACTAAATTCTTATTGTTTATGATCCTTGAATTACATTGGACATAGACCAAATTATTTAATCTTGTTGTATCTAGTTTATTTCTTTTCTTTGTATATATCCCTCAAAAGTGCTCCAGTTCATTTCACAATTGGATGAACTTGTAGTCAATCTATCATTTGCAAATTAAGTACGCCATTTCCATAAGTATACCACCATGAAACTAAAAAAGAAAAAAGCACACAATTAATCATAAAAAATAAAAATACAAATAAAACCAAACCGCTACCGCCTAGGACCGCCTAGCACCAGACCAATTTTTCGATGATTTGCACTAAATCGCAGCAGACCACCTAGGGTCTAGATGGTTGTCTAGAACGATTTTTAGAACACTGTATACACGTTATTCTCGTTCACTTGGATGGGAGCCGAATTCAATTTGCATATAATGTGTGCCTCCCCTTATGTGCAACGTCATCAAATTCATAGAAAAAACTTAACGAATTTGGATGGCATTGAATATATTAATGTGAGGTAGTTAAATTACATTGATTGATTTTTAAATTGTGAGACCAAAATAATGAGTATGATCAATTTCATGAATCATTTGTGATAAAACCTAATTAAGAATTTAAGATGGAGTGTGCAAAACGGAAAATAACAAACTAACCTGCTACAACGGTTCAGATTGGCCGATTTGGTTGCTTTGGCCGACCTGATGCCCACACCAACATGTAACAGTGGCTAGATCCTAATTATTGGATGAGTAATGCTTGAGAGATCAACATTTTAAAGCAAATTTTGTAAATCATATGACGTGATTATTGATGATTAGATTACTGTTTAAGTGTTGATTAACATACTTATTTCCTATTAGTCACACATTATTAAGACTAACAGATAGCGTGGTTGTTGATGATTGAATACTGATTGATCAGTTACTAGTGCATTATTGATTTGGATTGAATAGTGAATTATCTCTCACACTAATAACTAAATGGCTAAAAACTTTCAACTTGGTCGATTTTGGGAGCAACATATATGTGACCCCTACATTGAGCGATATGTCTCGTCTCTATACACACACGCATGACTTGACGGTCGAATCTCATCATTTTCATCCAATAGGGTCCTCTTCCAATCATTTTGATGATCTTAGAGATCCGTGAATTGTATATGTTCATCGTATATCATGCGATCAATTTTTGTCAAGTACGGTTTATGTTTAATTTTAAATAACAATATTTAAAATGATTTTTTATCACACGATGTACGATAAACGAATACGATTCACGTACTTTCCGGATCCTCACAAAAAGGATCCCACGAGAATCCCGATTCCATTTTCATAGTTAACCTTTAACAGTTGTGTAATGTACCACATTTCCTAATCACCCACCAGACAGGGACCAGTGCGGTCACCCAGCGCCACAAAAATGCCCAAAGAGTGGTCACAGTTGTTATGCTCGATCTACTCCTATTTTTTGTTTGCTGCTGAAACAAACCTGTGAGGTCCAAACCTTCTTGAAGGTCTGCATCATCATAAATGAAAACAAAGATGTGCTGGGGGTAGGAATTGAATGAACTCTATACATTGAATGCATTCGTAAATATTTTTAGGGTTAAACTCTGTTTACTACCTTCATGTTTCGTGATTTTTAATATTTAGTACATCAAGTTTTTTGCATTCTAGAGTTATATCTAAAGTGTTAATTTTGGAACAGTCTCATATATTCGTTAGTCAAATTGTTAATTCTCTCGTTAAGTGATGACGTAGTGCCCATGTGGATAATGATTAGGCGCCATGTGTCATTAAAAATATTAAAATAATCGCGTTCCCAACCTAGAAGAAGAAGAAGGAAAAAAAAAAAATAAGTTCGTCATTTCCAGATTAATGGAGATCTACCACAAAACCAGTCCAAAAATCATCTCAAACTCCCCATCTCAAAGTATTTTCGAAATTCATCCACATTGAAAATCCCAAAAATATGGAGTTCATGGTCTGGGTTCGCGTTTGCGGTCGCGGGTGGGGGGGGGGGGATGAACTGGGTTTGGGTTGCTGTTTTTTTTTTTTTTCTTTTCTTCTTCTTCTTCTTCCCCATCTTAAAGTATTTTCGAAATTCACCCACACTGAAAATCCCAAAAATATGGAGTTAATGGTCTGGGTTCACGTTCGTGGTCGCAGGCCGGGGGGGGGGGGGGACGAACCTGGGTTTGGGCTGCTGTTTTTTTTTTTTTTCTCTCTCTCTTCTTCTTCTTCTGGGTTGCAGATTCGGTTTTTTTTTTTCTTCTTCTTCTTCCTCCTCCTTCTTCTTCTTCTTCTTCTTCTTTTGAGTTGCAGATTCGGTTTTTTTTTTTTTTCTTCTTCTTCTTCTTCTTTTGGGTTGCAAATTCGGGTTTTTTTTTTGTTTTTTGTTTTCCTTGTTCTTTTTCTTCTGGGTTAGGAGCAGGGGGAGAAGGGATGGGGTTTATTTATTTATTTATTTTTCTTTTTAACTTTTTCTTCTTCTGGATTGCAGATTTGGTTTTTTTTTTTTTTCTTCTTCTTCTTCTGGGTTGCAGATTCGGGGTTTTTTTTTTCCTTCTTCTTCTTCTGGGTTGAGGGTGGGGGGAGAATGGATGGGGTTTATTTATATTTTTTTTCTTTTTAACTTTTATTTAACTTCTTCTTCTTCTGGGTTGCAAATTTGGTTTTTTTTTCTTCTTCCTTCTTCTTCTGGATTGCAGATTCGGGGGTTTTTTTTTCCTTCTTCTTCTTCTTCTTCTTCTTCTGGGTTGGGGGCGGGGGGGGGGGGGAGGGGGGAAGGGATGGGGTTTTTTTTTTTTTACTTTTATTTAATTAATTTTTTAAATATTTTTTTAATGACACGCGCCACGCCATCACTTAACGAGAGAACTAACAGTTTGACTAACAGATGTATGAGATTGTCTTAAAATTAACACTTTAGGTATGACTCTGGGACGAAAAAAATTTGATGTACTAAATGTTGAACACCAAGAAACATGAGGGTAGTAAACAGAGTTTAACCCATATTTTTAATTAACTGAGTTACAAAACTATATCAATAATTCATCTCGTCTAAACTTGATAATATCAAAATTGCAAAAAGTAAATTAAGAGCAAGAGCAAAGCACTTGAACTATCCTTTGTAAGGCATAACAAAGAGGCTAAGGATCTGGGAGGCAATAGGGCAATAGTTAGCATGAGGTATAATTTGCCGTTCCATGCCAACAAGTCCTCCCTTCCAGTGAGGATTCTCTCTCCTCTTATTTTTGGGTGGCATAACTCAAAGACATCATATTTCTTTTGAATGGTCTAAATTAAAAGACGGGGATGGGAGGAGACAAAAATAGAAGGGGAGATAATCCAAGTCTCTAGTTTTTTAACAGTTTGAGTTGCTACTTGGACTTCATTATGCAGATAAGAAGCGTTCCTCCACGCAAGCACAACTTGATATGTTTGTAGAAATGTGTTATTTTGTATTTTTATTAAGCTAATTATGTACACATATCAGACTATGATTCGTCATTTAGTGTTCGGAATTCGAAACTCTCCCGCACTAGCTAGCACTTCAATTATTGAAGCGATCTTAACTCATGCACCAACTGTGATTCATCATTTAGTGTTCGGATTTCAAAACTCTCCCGCACTAGCTAGCACTTCAATTATTGAAGCGATCTTTACTCATGCACCAACTATGACTCGCCATTTAATGTTCGGAATTCGAAGTAGCTAGCACTTCAATTATTGAAGCGATCTTGACTCATGCACCAAGCAACAAGTTGCTTGTTAGTGCAACGTTCATGCCGCTGTAACCTCTGGTATTTTAGCAATATGAAATTTCACTAATTGACAAGATAATGCAGACAAAAGACAGCTCGTACTATATAGCACTCCTGACGTACCACAAGTGACCTCATAAATTGTTTATGTGACAATTTAAGCACTTAATTCCGCCAGCCACACAAAAAAGTGTGCTTGAATCATATTTCAACGTGACGAACTATTTATTTTGTAAGTTGCACCTCATAAATCATATTTGCAAAATATTTAGCTCATTCGGAAATATTTAAAACATCTAATAGAATTCAAAGAAATTGACCAACAATATGTTTTGAGAAACATTAAAATTTCATCAAGACAATTAAATGAGAAAATGGTTCCGGATTGAATTGAATTTTTGTAAGAATGATTCGTGAATCAAGACTTACAAAATAGGCTGGTTGGATTGTTGAAATTCAATGTGAAGTGAGTCCCACAACTAATTTTTATTTTTTTTGAAAAAAAATGAGGATCCCTTGTATATATATAGGATTTAGGATAGACCGTATACATTTATATATATTTATCTATGTTTATATGCATATATGGCTGGAGGCAGCCTGGATAAATATGTTTGTATATATAAAACCATGCTCCATACTGAAGCAGACTAGAAGCTCGTACACCACTGACCACGCCGCCATGGATACTAGGAGAGTAAAGAATATTCGGGAGGTTCGCTACGCAGGAGAGATGACGCCGACGGTCATGTTCTTAGTATTAGGATTAGAACGACGGCGTCATCTCTCCTGCATAGGAAACCTTGCATTGTATGTGCACCAAAACCACTGCCACGGCAAATTGGCAATCAGATTCGGATGAAAATAAGGTCCTACTCATTATTTCAATTCGTGCTTAACCGTAAAGTTTGTTGTTTAGTGTTAAATATGTAGTCTTAGTTTTGCAGGTACACAACCTAATTCGATATGGTTCATTGCACTTCCAAAGCTTGGAAGAAGAGCTGCATAAAACTTGGTTACCAAATGCTTATATTATAACTAATATTTTGGTTTTCTCTTTTTGTGACTAGCGGGGATAGGTGATTCAAATTTAGAACCTCTTTCAACATTCGAAAAAGAAGAATCAGGAGGTTTTCATTTTCATTTTTTTAAAATTCTCCCCTCCTCTATGCATCCTCGAGAAACTCCGAAATTGGTGTACACTAAAGAGGAATGACGGCAAACCTTGGTCGCACAAATTGGCCCACAATTTGTGCAACAGCTAGACAGGAGTCAACCATCCCATGTCATGTTTACACTTCATCCCAAAGTCATCTTACCAATCAAACTCCACTAGCGTCCCAAGCTGCCCCTTTGGAGTTGGGTGGCAACAATTTCAACACTCCAAGTTGCCAACCAACTCCTGGGGTTTCTAGTTGGCAATTTTTTTTTTTTTTTTTTTTTTGGTTCTAGTTGGTAATTTTGATAGTTGATTTGTACTCTGTTTTACCTTTGTTATATTACCTGTGTTATCTACAAGATTTGAAAGCAAGAATCTATTTCACCGATCTGTTTTGTAAATCCATTGCAACAATAATCCAGGATGTGCGAAAATCACTTCTCTACACGATATCCGACTACGATCTGCAATCTCTCAATTAGCACGGGTTTATGATAATCGCTCTACTTATTTACATGTATTGTCGGGGCTTTTGGACCATGCATTATTTACGAATAAACTTGATCAGTGGTTCAGATTCGCAATTGACAAAATATATGAATTTCAAACCACATTTTTCCCAAATAATTCAAAATAAGTACGCACAATGCTTTAAATATCACTACAATACGTTCATGCTTGTTGGATGCTGCAACACCAACATAAAGAAAACCCAACGATGTATTATCGCTAAAATGTTTCTCAACACCAACCAGCCACCAAGAAATATATTCCCAGGTGTCAACAATGTTAAAAGTTCATAGTTCCAACCGTAGAAACACAACAAATTCCAACTTGGCTCCATGCTAGTTGTTCCATGTTCCGAAGATATGTAGCCATCCAGCTACCATGATCCTTCAGCTCCCAATGTTGGGTTTTCGAAAGCGGAGAAACCCCAGAAAGTCTTCAAAGAGTAGGGCTGCGAGATAGTCACGCCTTCTTCAGTGATCTTAGATATCTGCAATTTCAAATTTTAAGAAGTGGTCATCTTACAAGGAAGACAATAAACTCCACCCTTACAGCAGACAATATTATCAAGAACCGTCCAGAGACAAATTGCTGCGTTTCTTTTTCGGCCTTGCAACTACTGTGTTAATTTCAAACTACTAGTTCACACAGTTATCCAATGTGTGCAATCATCACTTTATTCACAGACCTATAACAAAGATCAAAGTTTTCTCCGCTAACAACTTCCCCCACTCGGTGAGGAAGTCTTAAAAAGCTTGAACTTTTTCTTTCCAATGGTTGGGCTCATAAGAGTATGACTAATTTTAAAAACTGAACTCTTTACACCAACTAATGTAAGAGAATATATGCAAACCCAACTAACATAAAAGTGAAATTTGGAGGAAATCCTCGATTTATTAATGACACTGAATTCCGAAGGCAAATAATTTTCCACTAGGCCTCTACAAATAAAATCAACTTGAAAGAGTAAGGAAACATAGACATGCAGAAATAAAGCTATTACATATTTTGTCAACCTCAATATAGAACACTTCCTACACTTGGTGAAGAGTTAGGACATACAAGCTAGCTAGCGTCCAGGACTCAAAAATTGAAAAAGGAATCCATAGGAAGCTGGTAGTACTATTGTCTGGCATCTAACTAAATCCATAAACATATGCCACCAACCTTCAACGCCTCTTCGGAGATGAAGTTGACAATGAAAATAATGTGATGTTCATAAGCACATTGCACACATCTGACAAATGGGGTTTTCAAGAAGAATATTTTCCTCTCAAAAGGACCACCATCACCTAAATACTTTCTTCAATAAGTATATAGAAACTATGATTAAATTTTACCAAGAACCTCATTCTACAATGTATTTTACAGAAAGTACGTATATTAGAAAACTTGTTGGGTAGAAATAGGAAAACGAAATCAAACGAAAATTGAAATCAAAACCATGCAGTCCTGTTCATCAGAATAACAAGTAATATTTCTCTTCGCCCACTTTAAACAATTTCCGGGGCTAAAGCCCAATCTATTATCAGTAAAATAACTAGTAATTACACGGACAACAATAGCACCAAAAAGAACAATCTATTGAAAAAGGCTTATCAGGTTTCATAAGTGTTGAAGATAAAAGATGACAGACAGGCGGCTTATATGCCAGTTAAAGAAAATAAACAGATAGATGCATAAGAAAGCTCTCAGGAATCGTTAGCCAAAAATTACGGAATATATAACTTTAAAATTGTTAGTATCAAAGGATACTAAATAATAGAGCAAATAACAATAATCAATTACTCTACCTGAAGCTTGTTCACAGCAGACCGATCACGATAGAGAAGGACACGCATGCATTTCTCCAGCAGCTTTACACCTTCTTCGAAAGTCAAGTTCTCATGCCACTCATCACGAAGAATAGGCCGTGCAAGGTGATTTCCAAACCCAGTTGCTACATGATTGTCCTCGAAATTCACGCCTATCATGCTAACCTGGATAAGAATAAAAATATGACAAGTCACTAAGTCAACTCATTCAGTAAAAATAAATAAAAAATATGTTCTAAAACCATACAACATGCTACAAAGTGTTAAGGGAAGGAAAAAAGGAGCCCTACCATCCCAAGATACTTCTGTCCCTTTTTTACTCCACCAAGGACAAGAGAGTTCCACAGTGGATTGAACTTGTTACGCCTATTGTACATCACACGAGTCAGATAGTTGTGTACCTCTTTCGGTCCCAAAGAGTTCCCATCATCCCACATGTTGTCGTATAGGCTACAACCAGAAAACTCAAAATGAATAATCCTTTAACCAACTGTTGCAAATGATACAAAGAAACAGCAAAACCAAAAAAAAAAAAAAAAAAAAAAAAAAATGAAAAACAGAAATGCAATGAAAACATTAAAAAAGGTAGCTAAACGGTCATCTTCATAATTTTCCTTAATCAGGAATGCTTACATGAGTTCATCAAGATAACGTAATAGCTCCTGAAAGTCACTTATTTCTCCACTTGCACCAAGAAGAGAATGCTTTCCAATGGGCTTCATTCGCTCCACACTCTTATATCGCAGGGTAGACCCATAAGAACCTATCAACAAATCCATCATTTTGATACTGTTAAGAAAGATGAACACACACAAAAGGAGCATGCATGGGTGTCTAAATTTTGCGTCATGAAGTACTAGACCTCCAACCATAAAAAAGAAGAAGAAAGAGATGATGAATATTAATGATAAAAAGATGGGCCATAACATAAAAACAATGAGATAGATAATACATTACATGGTACAAAGACCGTTAACAGTTACAATAAGTGCACAAAACTGGCACTCAGCAAAAAGAGAGGAAGAAGAAAACAAAAACAAAATAAAGAATACCCTTTTGTTTATGTACCCCCCAAAAAGGAATTCTGCAACATTCTTGATAACTTTAAACAGTATCGATGCAAACTACAAACAACCATTTATCCTTTGATTAAATGAATAGCTTGCTAGGACCTAAGTTGCCTAACTTTGCTTCCTGAAACATGCGGAGGAAATTGAAGATATCCCATTGTCCTGCACACACTCTGTGCTTGTTTTATTTCTTCCCGATATTTGTAACTTTCACAGAACGTGAGAAGTTCAATTCTGTTTTTTATTACCATTTTAGCCTTTATCGTTAGTTTATCTCGACTACATTTGGCATTGTAGGGATCTAACTGCTAACAATGGGCATTATGTATAATAACACAGAAACTAATGTACCGTACTTTGGAAAGACTCTAATTTGAACTATTTCTTTTCAAGATAAATTGGCACAAAGAGAATAAGCGTACAAGAACAACTCCGAAAACTCCATAACAAACTCGATAAGAAGCTAAGATAAAGGGGGAAAGAGTCCCACCTTCCAACAAACACCAGAAAAAAAGTTATACACAGCACTAACATCATCAATTTTCAATCTAGAAACTGACCAACAAGTTCAATCAAATAAAATATTAAAGCTTTGTTTTGTGACGCAATGTGAAAGAAATTGGCAGCTAACCTCCCATATCAGCAGCCATCAAGATTCCATCTTTGTACTTGAGAGCCACAACAGATGTACCAGTCACATATGGGTACCTTCAAAAAGTACACAAAAAACACAAAAAACAAAATTAAATAATTGAAACATCAAACAGAAAGCTAAATCCCCAACAGCCCAAAATACCTAATCTCTGTTACATTCAAAAAGTACAGAGAATTTGTTGAAATTAAACATAGAGAAAACGACGAGAGAGAGAGAGAGAGAGATTAGAACACATACAGGGTTCTCTGAGAGCCTTCAGGATTGCACAGCAGGCCGGGTTTGGATTGATTCGACTCCATTAACTGCTAAAAAAAAAACCCTTCAAATGTTAAATCCAAGCAATTAAACGACAATCTGGGTGGTGAAATCAAATGGGCACTTGAAACTTACACTCGTTCTTTGCTTTCTGAAGCTTTTTGTTGTGAGATCGCAGAGAGAAGAAAGCGTTAGACGTTCTGAAGCTCAGTGAGGTACAAATAAAGACTTTTTACCCCTTTTCCTTCTGCTCAAGACATCGCGACCCGAAACATTACTCGGATTCGATTAAGGAACACTTGGCGGAATTGGACTACAATTCTAAGCCCAACTAGAAGCTATGGCCC